AAAAGATTAAAACACCAGTGTTTGTAGAATAATGGCTTCTTCAGATAGTTATGCCAAGACATCATCATTAAGCAGAGTCTGCCAGGTCCTAAAACCTCAAAAAGCATTTGTGGAGTGCTGGATGGAGCTTTGAAAGCCATCTCACACTCTTCTTTGTTATGCCAACTTGCCCTTAAACCTTAAAGTATTAAACCTGAGAGAGACAGGCGAATTTACAAAAACTGCCACGGCAATTGCAGATTAGTATTCAATTACTGCTGTCGGCATGTGTTCAACCACCAGATCATAACCCCAAAGTGACCACTTGTATGAGGAGAACTCACAAAGGAGAGAAGTGTGATAGCACACCAAACCACCTGTTCATTTTGACAGGGTCTCCTGGAGTGTTAAATTTTTATACATATACATCTATATATATATATTTCCATGGCACAATGAAAATAAAAAAGTACAAGCAATAAACAAGAAAGCCTTAAAGCAACCTAGAGGCAAAGGCAGGAATTTTTATTGCCTTTCACAGGTGCAGAGACTAGGAGCTGCTACTCTGCCTATTCTTATGCAGGGCTGCTGATTCCAACAGCAGCCTAGGTTATTTGCGTAGCTGCGCTCCAGCAATCAGGCACCTATGATAAACGTTATTGCCTGGGAATTCAAAATGATGCCTGTATTTATTGCTCATTGTGAAATAAAAATGGGATGCCACTGATTTAAAAAAATCCATAACCAAATGACATGGCCTGATCATATAGCAAGTCCATGGCAAAGGCACAGTACTCAGGGTTTACCAGCTCTTAGTTCTCCACCCTATCCATTACACCACACTGCTTTTCTACTTCCACATCCAAATTACTTTTTGCATAGGGTAAAGCCTCACCCTGCCTTAGGAGGCTGCTCCACCACCTACAAGGTATAACTGCACCACTATAGTTACTAATAAAGCAGAAAACACATAGATGATACAGTTAGTTGTTCCCAGCAGCGTCCTGATTAAAGCAGCTAAAAGAACTTGAGGAGACTAGAAAAATCACAATAAACAGAATACAAGAAGTCCAGCGACATTCATTGCCTTTCACCAGTTATTTCTTCATAATTTATTCATTTGGCGATGCGTAAGACCAGAGCTGAAAGAATAACACTTGTTGGATGCTGTTAAATCTTCTGTACTTGCCAGAATTACTTTTGGCAAGTAGAATTTTTGTAAATTTGTTTCCAATTAGTGTATACAACAAATGTTGCTTATGCCCAGCTGAACTCCGCTTCCTGGAAAATGTCCCTAACAAATGGCCATCTGATTAGTCCCCATCAGGAGGAACACACTGTATGTGAATAAGAAGATTGAGAGAAAAACAAACGGCAAAGAGCACTAGGCACACCACTATGATGCAAAGAGAGAACAGTAGCGTACCTTTGCTCATTTGAGGCACAAACTCAAAAGGGTGGAAAAAAATCCAGCTTATCTTCCAAAGTCTTTTTATTGCCTTTTTTCAGGTCAATGACTTAAACCACACATCATCTTTCTGGAACTAAGTGAAGTTTTCTGGTGCTCTGAACAAGTGATTTCAAACACAGAAAATATCTGGATGCTCGCCCTATTTCATGCTCTTTTTCTGAATCCTGTCACAAAGTAACTGATGAGTTCAATCACACTGCAGCACTGATTTTCTCCCCTGGATCAATACAAAACATTTCTTGATTAGGTTTTTGGTGCTAGGAAGAATCTCATCACTATCAATCTTATTGATTGGCACCTTAAAGTACTAGTATATGAAGATCCCTAGGTTTATTTTTAAACAAAAGTTTCCAAGTGTACATATGGACTGAACTCCATACTGCCAAGATACCTCAACAAAAAATAGGGAAAAGAAAGAACAGGAGATAGAAGAGCTGAGAAGGGAGAGGGAGTAAGAACCCAAGGGGGGTACTGAAGACAAAGAGATACCCAGTAGACTTCAGAAGCAGTGCAGACTGCTGAAAGCACAACTGCAAGAATATTTTGCTTAAATACTGCCCATAGGCATGAAAATACAGTTGAAGGCTCAGTAGACATACACTCTACAACAGTCTAGTATGTCACTTGCTGTTCTCTATTCCAGCAAGAAGACTTCATCTCAAAGTGTATATTGAAATGTAACCCATAAGACTATTTTAAAATGTAATTTGACTGTTGCAAGTCCTACCTCCGAACATAGGTATTCATTTGTCGTATTTATATTGCAACTTCACCCTCAAGCTTCCTAAAGCATTTCACAATCACATATTTGCAGTACTGTGCAAATACAACCACTGCTAGGCTGGCTTCCATAATAACCAGAGCACAGGAGATCACTCAGCAATTAAAAAAGGAGCCTGTGGTCAGGTTAGCACAACAACCAGGCAGCCACTGTTCAGTCTTTAAAAAGAGAAGTTAAGCACCACTTGCTCCTGCAGTTGCACTGCTTGAGAGAGTAGATGTATGAATTTCCCAAATCACACATATTTTGTCTGAATTCAAATCGCAATGACAACCTAATACTGCTATCGGCTCTCTCATTCACACAGATCTGTGTGTTGAATCCAGGAGTCCCAAATCTGCTGCTGATCTCAGTGTCTATCAATACAGTGCTTTGGGCTGAAATTTGTTTCTCTGTTTCTTTCTGAAAAGCCAGGGTACTACCCATGCCATCTATGTTAAAAAATCATGACGGCTGAAAAGTCAGGCACCAAAAAAGCCTGTGTGGCATTAAGTTGGGCAAGCCTTATGATACAGTCCAGTTACCCTGACTGCATTCAAGGACCTTACCCACATTCTACACTTTCGCAGGAAAACCAAATCCTGCATGGAAACCATTCAACTCAACAGTTCCAAATAACTCCCAGAGCTGGTTCAGCTTGTGTACTGAATAAGCTGCAAGAGCTGATAAAAAACTCAGCATATGATTAATTAAGACTATTACCACGCATATTCACAAGCAGGGTGCACTGGATGTGTTTAGAAAGGCTTGATTTTGGCATTTCCCCATTTTCTATGTCTGTCTTTGCAATCTCAATAGATCCATTGTAGCTGATCCGTGTATATGTTTGTGACCCATGTGTCATATGTTTGTAAGATGTTTGCTCTACCTGCACCGAGCTACCCTATGTGCCTAACCTCAGTGTGATTCAGGGAAACCAAAGTTAGAAGCACAAACTCCTTATATAGTAAAGGGAGAAAAACAAGTGCCTCCCGGAAGAACTGATTTAATAGACCTAGGATGATGACCTAAAGTGGATGTTGCAAAAAACCGCCTTAAAGCAGCAAGTTTTTCCTACTTATTCTAAATATATATCTTTTTCCTCTCTGCAGCCAAAGGTCTGTTTAATTCACCCAGATATAATCAACACAAAGAACTGAAAGAAACAGATGGCTAGAGGCCAGCGTTCAAGCAGGTCTGGTTGTATAAAACAGTGCACACTTCCAATGTGTACATGAGGAAGCAGTGTGTGTGAAAGGGACGTGAGTAGGAATTTATCTGGAAAAAAAGGAAACACAATGGGTATCATACAGGAAGTTTATAATGGGCGATTGAGACTAGGTCCTCAGGACTTGAGTGAAACTGGTCCCACATGTGGCCAAAAAACCCATGCTGATAAGAATAGCTGCAGTCAGGCTGCATTAGGCAGGAGCCAGTTTGAGAACATATGGCAAAACAAATGATTCAATGCAATCTGCTCATTCTGCTGCTTCCCCCAAATATTGCTGTACTAACATCCTCTGGTTTTTGCCTTATTACAGTGTTACTATTTAGGAGCATGGAAAACACCTGTAGGGATGACAGGGACCTACAGAATTACTGGCATGACAGACTGCTGTGGAGATTCTCATACTGTTCCCATAGATCAGCTTGAGATGTTTACACATATCTTGCTCCTTACTCGTGCAAGAGAAAGGAAGAGAAAGGAAAGCTAGCAGGCTGGTCCTGTTTGCTCCTTTTTCCTTCTCCCAGGTAAAAAAGGATGCACTCTCCCAGAGCATCTCTGGATTTCACACAGGCACCCCAGCTCCTAGCCAGCACCACTGTCCCTAAATTCTGTGAGGGTCACAGCAAGCAGAAGTTTTACCATTTAAACCTCCATTCACATCCTTCAACTTCCTAAAACATCTAACTTCAGGCCTATAATCTCCTAAGACAAAAATTTCAGTAAACAATGGAAGGTCTGGGCTTTTTACATTGAAAACTTTTTTCCTTTTATAGATGTGAGTGTACAAATAAACAAGCAAGCACACTAGCAAGCAGTGACGTCTGAGACATCAGTGTCGCCACAACTCTTCCGTCTATCATATGTCTTGCCATGTTTATTATTTTAAGAGCCACAGATTTCACCCAGAATCAGACTGTATTGACTATAAAAAACTCTAGTCCATTGTTCTTTTAAAATGAATGACTACCTTTCAATGGCAAAGGGAAGATGTTTGAAATCTTAAAAACTGAGACAGCAGGAAGTAAAAAACATATTCTAAGGTTTTCATTTAGGTTTGTTCAGTAAAGCTCAGGATTTAGAAGCAAATTTAACTATTTCTGAGGATCTTAACTACATGTACTCAGGCTGATAAGATTGCTCTCAGTTTCACTGAGGTTCTTTTCCTGGTTCTGCCAGTAACCTGCTGTGTAACCTTGGGTTATTCTCTGTTCTCTCTGCGCTTCCTTCTTTTTTCTCTCTACCTTCCTTGTCATTGTTTGGGTCATAAAATCCTGACCCTTTGAAGCTCTAAACATGTACCTTGACATGTTGTAAGTAGTCCATTAAAATGTATGAGACTGCTCACAGAGAACATTTATGCATATAGTAATAGAACATACAAAATAATATATATACATTTTACAATGGAGTCTCATGTGTGTATAAAAACACACCAAAACAACCGAAACCTAGTTATTTACCTCTATCTATTACAACTACACACTACCCCTTTCTTTGGACATTTCCATTGTCAGGTCCTATTCTGTTATCTAGAGAGATTCATCCTATGGGACATACAGTACCATATCACAGTGCAGCTCCAAGTTTAGATCTCCCTTATTAGTGTGAAGTCGCACATAGCCCTTCTTCTTCACATATTTGTATCTCACAACGTCTTCTTCAATAGCAGCTGTATCAAAGCAAAAGACAATAATTAGCTACCTGGAAGCTTACTCATTGATCTTTAGAAATCATCAGAAAATAAATTGCTAGATTCTACTGTCTGACCTCTTCCCCAGGGGTACTGGGTCTTCAGGGATTGTACTCTGCAATTCATCTATGATAACCTCACATTAATCTCTGTGCAAAACACTTTCCATTATAGAAAGCCACCAACTCCTCGAGAGCCAACAATATCACATATATTTTTAAGTCACAGAAGCATAATATTACAAACTATAATTTTCAAGTAATGCCTACCAATCGTGAAAGTTACTTTAAAACCAAATTGTTTCTTGTTGAACTTGGAAGCCAAACACGTAGTTATCAGTCAACCACAAATTGCTGACATATGAGGATCTACCCAGTTCTGAAAACAAATGAAGCTGTTACTGGAAACATTACTGGAAAGTCAAACCAAAGGATCAGTCTAGGATGTTTCCACTCCCACTTAGTCAAAATGTCCATTTAGTCAGATATTTTCAACACTCAAAGAGTCATCTGCAAATCACTGTAATCCATCAAGTAAAAGAACTAAACTTGGTAAACGTAGTTTTAGCAATGTATTCAACTTTGCCAAGTGTGTGACGTACTTCTGAATTAGTGCCAAAAGCCAGACCCGTCTCTTCAACTGTGAATACTAATCGTTCAGCTATTTAATCAATATGCAAATTAAATAAATTCTATACATTTGTGTTTAGGCTGGAGAATGAAAGGAAAACTTTATTGTACTAAAATGCATTTTTGCGTAACCTTGAAAAGCAGTAAATCAAATATCACCACAAAATTTGCTGTCATTCTAACCAATACTGGGTTAGGCCAAAAAGGTGGTAAAGATTTTGTACACTATTTCAGGAGAGATTATATTCCATTCCTAACCTACATAAGTGGTCCCTGGGCATAGAAAATACTTCATTAATTTCAGTTCAACATAAGTAACTGCCTTTCAAAGCTGAAAGCTAATTCATAAATTGCTCCATTATTTCCAGAATGAGCTCACTGGAAAGTAAGGATGTATCTGCTCAGGGAGTACATTTTCATGGCATCAGTACTGACCAATTATCAATGCACTCCTTCAGTCCTCAAAAATGTATGTGTGCTAGGGAGCACACCTTGAAACTGAAAACTAAATAAAGAGCTTGTAGCTAGGTAGTTCTGGTACCTGCTTCATGGGTAGTTTCAGGCACCATTGCAGTGGAGGTGAAGGAAGCACTTACTGCTCCAGTGGAATAGTGAGCCTGTTTGCAGAGGAAAAAGCAGAAGAAAAGGCTATTAGATCTTAGAATTTATCTACTAAAGATACTATAAAAATACTAGAAACACACAAATGTTATCCTTCTGAAGGCAGACTTTCTGCTCTAGCTGCTATAGAAAGAAACAAATGCATGATGCAGCAATAATTCTCCATCTGTTACACATAACATTTGCTCTGATGAAACTAGTTAAGGCTGCCCATGGGCTGAGCTGAAGGGGCTTATTGCTTCCATTACAGTTTAATACATCATTATGCAAAGATTCTATTATGAGAATTTATTTGTATGTCCACAGGTGGAGATACGAAAGGAGTACTGCTGGCAAGACACCTGTAAATTTCTCTAATACTGCTGAGTAAGTGGAAGGAAACTCCAGTGAACCACAGAGATACTGCAGAGAAAAGCAAACCACCCCCCTCCCACACACAGCCCTTCTGCATGCAGAGGCACTGCCCCATGGTTCCCAATGTCTATTTTGAGCTTTGTAATTCTGCAGAAAGGAAATGTGAACATCACACATGGATTTTGTCATGTGTGGCTCTGGGGCAATGCCTGTAAAGAATACAGGTCAGGCCAATGCTCTATCCATGAGGTTACCCTGCATCCTATACAAGTTTATAGTTATGCCCATCCACATCATTAGCTAACAATCTGACTCTCCAACATGTGTAGAGCTCATAGTTGTCTCTCACCTCATCTTTTGTTTTCTTATAACACTATGATGCCCTGAAAAAGGGGCAAATGTGATCCTACTCCTTGGTCACATACACTCCCTAATCTGCCACTAATCCTTCTCATTAAAAGCCATATGCTGCATTGCTATTCGTTTTCATGCAAGTATAATCAAAGCATGAAGACACATACATCCCAGAATTATTAAAGGAAAAAAGAATACTCTGTCTTGCCCATTTCAAACAGCCTATGATATAGGAAATATAAATGCAGATTAATTGTTTCTCTTGACAACCACGAACACACAATAACATGCACTTGGAAGAACATCCTTTAAAATATTCCACTAAAAATCCTGCATCCCAGTGGAAAAAAATGGAGAAGCAGTTGTGGATGATTTATTTATTTGCCCACATCAGAAATTATTCACTTGCACTGCCCTTAAAGTGTGTTCTCTCTGCCAATAACTGCAGGAAGCAATGATAAACAAATTCAAAGCAAGAGATTACAACCTGGGAAAAAAGGTTCTGCCAACATGTAGGTCATAACCACATCCTAAAGATTCTTCCTTATTGTGCTCCATTTCTAAAATGTTTAGCTTCATTTACAATGATTCAACAAAGAGAAACTCACTGGCACATACAATATATTTGTAAGGAATCCCAATATGATTCTCATATTCTCATCTATGACAACTTTCCATGCAAGAGAAAACAGAAGTGTCTGTTTGTACTGCAACATGGCCTCTAAGACAAAAAACATCTATGATCATTCTTGAAGAAGTCAATCAGTACCAATCTACAAATTAAGTCAACTTACTGCATTCAGCTTATCCACTTTCTTCTTTTCAGGAGCCTTCATAGTAGCTGCCAGAATATCATCGCCTTTGAATTCCTTATAAAGCTCCAGTAAAGTCTCTCGTGTCTCTGTATTTGTATTTTTCAAATAGTAAGATGGATCTAATTTTGCTTTTTCTTCATCTAGATAAGACAAAGTTAAACCATTCAGAGTTAAAAGAAAAATTCTATTTTGTTCTCCTTCAGTTTATTACATGTCTAGTTACACAAAAATCTTTCAGACGCTATTTCTACTTTTTTCAAAATAAAAAGGTCTAGTAACTATATTTATTCCTGCAGAAACAGTAACAAATAGAAATGCATAACACTAACAACAGTATAACTCGTAATATAGCACAATAAATGCCAATATGATGAAGTATAACAAAAGAAAAAAAAACTTCAACTACTGCAAAAATTTCTTTGAAACCACTAGAAACTACCTAAGTTCATGCAAGTCTTGTAAATTTTTTATAGAACAATAAAGACAAGATACAGTTTGGTACAATATAAACTTCTGCCCTTTGTCTCCTCACAGAATGGCCAGGCCTGTGATGCAAAAATCCCAAATTCAGATCTTTAACGTGATACCAGGGGGAGGAGGCTGGTGGACTGGACTGGAGAATTTTACTATTTTTTTTAATTTAATTTTTTTTTTTTTTACAAGTTTCACTTGTTCTCTGTCTTGGTATGCCTACTGTTTGCTGGATATTAAATATTCCATCTGTGAGATTACAAAAAAAAAAGAGAGAGATAAGCAGAGTAAGACCCAGAAAAACACACCATGCTTAGAATCAGCAATCAGACCTCATTAGAAACAGTTGAAAAGGAAACCACAAGGGCAAAGGAGAGAATTTTTTTCCTTCAGCAATTTAATATTAACAGATATTACGAAGCATTTAGCTGTCAAAAAAATCACAAAATAATTGAGAAGCAAATTTCTTAGATATCTAGAAAGAAACAAAAAGGCATTTTATTTTTTAATTATTAAAATAATTTTGGGACTATTTTAAAAAAATCTATATCGATCTTCAACTTGGAAGATGTCCATCGTTATCCAGACAGAAGGACAGGCAATACATTGTTGATACACGTGAAAGAGAGCCTAGCAGACAGGTATGAAAAGATGTAGGTTTCCTTGTCTTGCTTCTGGTACAAGGCTAATGGACCTTTTGGCAAATTATTCTCCCTCCTCTTCTCACTTCTCTCTCATCACCTTTTGATGTGAAAGGGACAGTTTCAACAAGTTATTCAGGCTTCCAAGAAGCTTTCAAAGTCACCACTAGCCACTGAGGGGTGTCCATCCAGAAAATACGGTCAATTCCACAACGTTGTCTTTACAATTTGTGTATTTGTGTTGGTGTTTTGTCAGCCTACCTTCAGTTCATGCTTACCTGGATCAATCACTTTTATGTTGTTCTTAACGTGAAAGAAGTTCGAGACATTGAACTTATCTAGGTTTGTTGGATCCTGAAAATAATAATTAGAAAAACAAGTATCAGAGAGCTGGGTAGGCACCAGTTCCGTGCAACTGACTGGTTTGAAGGGCAGACACCACTATAATAAATGAACAGCGAGAGACAGAATAACTTGCATATTCCCCAAATACAGAAAGATGAAAAAAATATAATGCAATCCACCCCAACCGACATCAGCAATGAGCCTGTTCACAGTAGGCTTCTTAGGGATCTGGAATTTAGTCCCAATATCATATCACACATATTTTGACTACAGAAGTTACTAACAGAACTAAGCTGAGTCTACCCTATCCTAGTGGGAAGACAGAAGAGGAGCTGCAGTTCCCTGATTCTTTCCTTTATTTTGTGGTTTGGTCTAAGATGTATGCAAATTCACATTAGCCATCTCCTATTTATAACAGTGTGCCCGATTTGCACATGCTCCGTGAACTTTTGTAAGGCATTTCAAAATACAAATAAACCTCAGAGCAAGTCTGCAGCCAGAACTGTTTTGATTGTTGTTTTTTTACCAGTGAAATCTGTGCTTACAGAATTACCTTTAAAAATAAAAAAGACTAATAATAAAAAGCAACAGAAAGTGGTATTATGAAAACTCTATTAAGCAACCACTCAAGGAAAACAGCAAAAATACACAGTCCATTAACTGTGAGTCTTTATACTATCTCTAGGCAACTTTCTGCATAACTTTGACCTTTTGTTAGAGAGCGTGAGACAAGGAATGCCTACTGGTGATTTAGGTTACATTATACTATTATTACACAGTCCTTAATCCTCTTCTTACAATGACTTCAAGGTTTTCTCCTCAAGCTCCTCTGCAGCACAGAAAGGTCAAAACATCAGTCCAAGACACCCAGTCATTTCTGGAAACTCTATCTTACAGAAAACAATTAAAAATCTAAAATACCAAAATATCTTAATAATATGCAATAGTTTCAAGTTCAGGATGAAAATTACGCAATATATTATGCAAAGAACCATGACAGTGACACGAACAGTATTATCCCAGATAAATTTAACAACGCTTCTCAGACCACCACTGTTGATAAGAAGTTCCGAAAATTACATCTCTGCTAAAAGTAATGATTAATACAAGCAGAACTGGTAGCTCCATCACATCCATTGAATGATCTAATTATGGCTTTTATTCATCCCTGAAATGATATGTTTCCACCAGAGAGTGCATTTTCAGTTTTACTGCTGGTAGTAAAACCAAAACACATTTATGAATCAAGCTGTGTTATTCTGCACCCTAATGATGACCTCCTGGCTTTCTGCTGTCCCCTTTTCCAATCACTATATAATAATTTTCTATTGTTTTCTGCCCCACTACACCTCTCCGACAGATCTTCATCAAGACATGGACTGCCAAAAACCCCAAGTATTTTATCTTTAAGTCCTTGCATTAGAAACAGATTAATCTTTAAGTAAAACTACTAAGGAATAGGAAATTTGGACCTGTTTCTTCACCATTTCTGTATCCTATGAAATCGGCACTCAGGTATATTTATTATTTGTTACCTCACATACATATTTATGTATGTATGAATAGAGATAATTTCAGCCTTGCTCTCTGACAGTCAACAAGATGCATACAGAAAGTCTGGAGAAAGGGCTCAATATGTTTCCAGAAGACACAGGTTGCCTCCTCCCAAATACTCCTCAGTGATCACAAGCTGCAGCTTTCCCAGACAGAAATCATTGCCTTGCACGTAAATGTACCACCTCAAAAGGTGAAGGAAGTAAGACAGTTTACCCTTTCCAGGAAAGAAAAAAAGATAATCTGTGTATTAATATTAATACAGACAAATGGATTTATAGCAATCCACATCTCCGCTGTCCATGGCAAAGCTGAAGGGCAAGACTGACTCCTGAAACTGAATTTTCATGGACAGGAAGGAGGGCAGGAGAGAGAAGTGAAAACGAACCAGAAAACATCCATCACTATATTCCTCTAAATAAAGCTTCTTGATTTACTGATTTATTGATTGCTTAAGAATAAATAAAAGGACATCACAACTGCCAGCACCTTATGAAACCAAGTTTTGTGCTCAGGGTACCATGAATCAGATTAGTTAAAACTATTTCACAGCCACAGTTCATTCAAATGTTTACATGGCTTAACCAGCCTAATTGCAGGTGTTCAGCAACTCCAGCAAAAATGTTTACAGGCACTTTCCCTGCACGGCATTTCTCAGAGCTCTCCAAATCGCCACTAACCTCCTCATAGACAATGCATCCATCATGGTATGACAGACAGCAGAGGGCCCAGGGGAGCTCCCTCTCCTTGCAGACCACAGCCGTCCATCTACTTTCTTAAGAGACCAAAGACAAACCCCAGAACTAAGACCAAGGTCCTCTGCAGCACAAGGTCCTTCATCACATGCAGGTGGCCCATTTGTTCAAATGGAAACCTCGACAAAGGTTTGATTTATAGTGTTATTCCTTGTGTTCCTGATACTGCAAAGCAGGAGTCTCATCACACATCGAGAAGGCAGGTAACTCATGCGCCTACTCCAAAATCAGTTTCCCTCTGTCAGTAGAAAAAACCCTCAAAATGATTCCTCAAGTTGAAACTTAAGTGTCATCTTACACAGGACACCTAGGACAAGGGTTGACATGTTGATTTCTCCCTCTAAAATACACCATCATGATACACTAGGAGAAGTCTGATTAGAGTTAGTTTGATCAGAATTAGACAAACATGCAAACTAAGTGTGACAGTACAGGGGTGAACATTAAGATAAACACAGGACACCACTTGCTTCTACCATCCCCAAGAGCAGAAAGACATCTGACCAGTCCAACCTGTGCTGCAGAAGACAAACCACTGACTTACTGATGGTACAGAGTCCTACAACCCAAGATACAAATTTTTTAAAGGTAGGTCTACGTAAGTTTTAAAAGTGCACACGGTCTTTAGACATATCACTTCAGGAAGAGAACTGTCTAAACACTAATAATCAGACTGCCAAATTCCTCTCATTGCATCTGTGACAGTTACTGGGCACAGAATCAGAGCAGTCCAACCAAGACACTGCAGGGATGGGCAGACAGACATACCCACATTGTCAAAGCCTTGAGCTCTAATGGATTAATGGCCTCTCTGCTCAGCGACAGGCTGGACTCACGGGGATGTTCCCAGTCCTGTTAAGATTAAGGCCTGATGAAATGAGTTCTGTGTAAGCGCACGGAAACCAGAAAGGAAGATGAACCACTGAAGTAAACTGGCCCACTTCTGTTTGTCTTAGCATGTTCAAAAATATGTGTTCAAATTATCATGGGTAGCAGTCTCGGGATTTTCCTTATTAAGGTTACAAACCATAAACTTTAGTTTAGCAAATTACTGACATGGACACAGACTTCAAAGGGTTGCTAACTATCATGACTATCAAAAATCTCACATTTTATGCTTTCCTGAAAGCTGAGCTCTGAGAACAATTAATCTCAAGTTTTATTCCACTTTTTTTTTCCTTATCATTTCTGGTTTCACCTACTTAGGGCAACAGCTTAAACTCCACTAATCTTAAGCACCATACACATATTCCGCCCTCCCCCCCCCAAAAAAAAAAGCAGGTTAAAACCAGTGCGGTTTTAGACCGTGTGATTTGTTTGAGGCCTGATTCCTCTCTTACCATCTGGTCAGCCATGCTGCACCCCTAATTATCGTCAGGACTGTTACCTTCATACACTGACCATGTCTCAACACATCACTTATACCAGACACTCTGCACATGCACTGGTGCAGGATTTGCCCTCAAAGAGCCCTCACCCACAACCGAGAGGAAATCTGCTCTGATCTTTTGTCACACAAAGAGTAAATGAGAAATAGCTGAGGAGTGAAATATCAATTAACAGTGTGCAGCTCAGCTATCTCCAACTTAGCTCATTAGTTATGCTTCCTGCCACAAATGCCAATGATGTTTAACAGCTTGTCAGGAACACTGTCTTGTCCATGGCTAATTAGGTTATACAGAAACAATAAAATTGACATAAGGAAGCATGTAACAGTATGAGCCTTTTTTTTTTGCCTTTAACAGCAGCAAACCTGTTTGCATTCTACCCAGACTTTTTTTGTCTATTTATTTTTTCCATTTCTGTGGTGCAAAGCAGATGCATTTGTTAGTGTGCATCTATCAGGGAAGGCTCTCAGCAGGCTGCCATCAGAGGACTGTGCCTATTACCACTGGCACAACAGGGTTGGGGGGGGGGTTACTGCAATTCTTCTGGTGAAGAGGAACAGATCACCTCTGCCTCTGCTTTACCTGCAAGCACTGTTAAGCAGAGCCACACTTCTCACTAACTCCCCTCCCCTGCCAGCACACAGCCCAGCAATAGCTTCTAAGAGTTTCCAGAGCAGGAATAATTTCTGCTGTATCTTCACAAATTTCAGAGCTGTGGTTTCTGGTTTGTGAACAGAGACACAGTGGAGAATGAAGAACTGATGGGGGCTAAAGGGGAAATTGTTCTTAGTTCCTCTCAACACTTCCTATCAAATGGGATGTGAATGCAGGGTTTTGCAGAATTCTTACTTTCCTGTCATCAGGACCCTCTTACACTTTTTGAGATGGGAAGAAGTCCACAGGACTGTCAAAGCCCACCACCACGTCCAGCAAAGCCCTACCTGACCCTGTTCCTCTCTGTGCATCTTGAGCTGGGGCAGCTGCTTGCTTCAGTCTGCCCACTCTTACACAAGGGAACCCAGATGATACTTATTTATGTGCTTGCTGTTAAGTTCCACACCATTACACAAAGAATAATTTGCAAAATATATGATTGAAAAAACACACGGAATTTACAGTAACACTAATCAATAATAATTTCTACCAGACTGTTGACCAGATTTTGTCACAAAGATTAAATGGTGAACAGCAGACCTTGAGATCTAACACCTAATTATACCCCAAAAAAAATTACTTGGAAGATAACTTCAAATTAGGTTAAACATTTAGATTGAAAACTAGCTGAAAACCTGTAAAATATAGGACTGAAAGAATCACCTAGTTCTGAATCGTAGGATAATGCAATCTTACTGTGTCAAAACTCTAAAAAGCTATACTGAATTCTACCTTCAAAACAATTGCAAAGCGAAATGCCGAACAGCAATGTACCAAAATGGGAAGCAGAAAAGGGAGGCAAGAATACTGCAAACAAGCTTCAAAAATACCAGCCTTCCTATTACAGATACCCTGTCCCCACAGATCTCTTAAGTGCTTACATCATACCTTACCCATTAAGTATAACCAATACACGGTGAAGTACTTGAGCTGTCTGTCAGCTGGCAGCACATTCATGACATTTGCAAGAGATGCTAAGTTAGGCTGAGCTGATTATCTTTTACGGTAGTGGGTTTAGAGTTATGAGAAACACAGACAAAATACAACAGCAATATTCCATTTAGAAGAGATATAAACCAGTACAGTTGAGAGAAAAATTAACTGAAATAATGATAAACTGTAAGGAGAGAGAAACTTAGAAAAAAGTAACACCTGCACTGTAGAAGATGTGAAGCTCAAGTCAGAGTTTGTGGGAAGATCACACAGCTAAGAAAAGGAAATTTCAACTTGAGGGTAAAAACCTACAGTCTAAAATATCCAGTCATACTAGGACTGCTGGTGTCTAGGAAGGGTTTCATATGAAATAATGTCATGTGTATTTCTGTTGTCATCAGCAAGATACTAAACTAGAATCCATTACATCTTTTGCCTGAATAACTACATTCCAGTTTTGGTAACATATCTTGCACACCAGGATATGGTATTATTCTTTACCTCCTGCTCTGAGGGGCTGGATAATATCGCCATATGTTGATGAAAAACTGCCATGCTCTACCCCAGAACATTTGCATTTCAACAGGGAAAAAAGCGATTTCTATATATGTAAGTGCAGGAAGCACTGTGGATTCCTTTACAAAGAAAAGCATGCTGAGGATCTAAGACAGTGTTATTAACAAAAGTTGTGATTTTGCTTTTTTTAGTTCCAGATCCAAAATAATTTGTCATTTTTAACAACTAAACTTAACAGCAATAGGACACAAATAACTATCACTAAAATCAAAATGACTAGCTGAGATGGTGCTCACCAAAAAAGATGACAGCAATGGATTATGATTAGTGTTTGAATAATGTTTAGCACTGAGAATAGAACAAAGAATTTTAGGTAATTCTCTCTCTTCTGGAAAGAGCAAATTTTTTTGGTTTTGTTTTTAATTATATATATTCGGAGAGAGAGGTCAAGTTTGAGGTCAGCTACTATTCTGGTAAAAGAACATCCGTAGCAGCTGTAGGATTGCCCTTTATGTATCAGTAAGGAAAAATGTGATCATACAAATAATCTGTAAACATACATCATTCAAATTTTCCATTCATCATGTTGTATTTCACTACCAAACACAGGTACCCCATCTGCTTCACAGGACATTCAGAGTCAGCCTCAGGAAAATGTGATTTTCTATTGATAAACACAGCTATTACAGGCAGTCCTTTTCAGCTGTTATTTGCAAAGCAAAGAACGTTTTTTATAGCAACTTCCTTTATATCTACCTTTTTGCCAAACAGCAGGGTCAGCTCCAGCTCTCTCAGATACCACAGTACTCAATTTACACGTGAGAATGGGAAAACCACAAAGTGATAAATTTCAAGACAGAACTGAAAGGTTTTTAAGAGAAGTGGGATTTGGGATAGAGCTCTAGAGCCACAAACTGAAACACAACAGATTGCAGTCATGAACTCTGGCTAAGAAACAAAGCCACAGGCAGGTGGTAGAGCTTGGCAGTGTGAACCCACCACACTGCCTGCAGTGTTGTCAACAAGAGAGCCTGTAGAGGAGACACTGGTCTGTCTTTTAACAATTTACATGAAGAAAATACTATGAGAAAACAACAACAGATTCCTATATCACATATACATAAGCAATTTTAATACTGGGCTAGTCATACCACTTCAGGTTGCATTCTGGCCTCAACAAAGCAAGTCAGGGTAGGGCAGCATTTGAATAGGAGAAATCAAGGTATACTTGCAAGTTTGCAGTGGGTGTTGTGCAGTGCATTAAATGGCTCTTACTTCTCATTCAACACCCCGTAGCCATTTTAGCCTGTTCGTTGAAAATCCTTTTTTGAGAAAAATATTTTAAAACCTAATATTAGGGGTGAAGAGTCAAGCTTTAGTTGGTTAACAGCATTCAGATGGTCAAAATCTCTTCCAGTCCAGTCCCAAGGTGGGTGTATCTTTGCTATTTCTAAACTTATTTGAGAACAGGATACCACAAAAATATATACTACAGAAGTTAACACCAATCCATAATGAGTTGTTTACTCAAGAGGAACAAATCTACTCATGCATTACAAACATCATCCCAAACAGCCATGAAAGAGGTACAGGCAATGTATAGCTGTGACTCCATGTAGCTGGCAGGATGACTGTACCAGTGACTGGACAAATATCATCATCTACTTAGTTTCTGTTAATGGACATATTCCTCCAAGCAACATAGAAACCCAACATGTCAAGAACGGAATGAAGATGAAAAATATTGATAAAAATCCACATAGGGAACATCTAAATTGCTAGCTATTGCGTTGTGAGATTTAGGGGACTATAGCATCTGTTTGCTTTTATCAAAAATCAAACCTAGGCATGTAACAGGAACATACTCTATACATACATTCAATTCCAAACCTACAATACATATCAAAATATTTTTAAATGATAGCACATTTCAACTATTTGTTCAAAATAACTTGGTTTTCCATACTGATGCACAGAAACATTTTTAGTCACTCATGTTGTCTTTTTTTGTCATTCCAAATCCATTAGCAACCATGCAGTTACATTCAAATAACATTCTGTTGGGAGCTTTCAATCTGAAAAAGCTATGTTTTTTGCTTCCATTGGATTAAAACCACTTTACTTTGTTGCATTAGCTTGAACAGCCACGAGCCCAAAGGAATAGAGGAAAAATATTTATAAACATGCTGTTCAGCACTGGGGAGCAGGGAAAAACGGATAAATTTCATTTAAATTTAGACATAAATGAAAAATATTTTTCTATTCAAATTAAACTGTATTAGTCTTGGTTAGTGGCAATTAACTGTTCACGAGATGCATACTAACTCATGGCTGCAATAATAAGGATCCTTGAATCTCTTTCCCCTATTTTGAAATCATGCAAGCTTAAAAAGACCTACTTTTAAACAAAAGTTTTAGATCTTTCGATACTAAACTTAATCTGTAAATAACTATCTTTTAAACTCTGAAATCGACAATGCTGTTTTAATTTAGGTTTTAATTCTGTTAAAATCAGTAAAAGACCAACATTGGTATCTATTCAGAAGAAAATAATTCTAAACTAGCACTTAACGAAAATCCTGTGATTTGCTGTTTATCTTACTCTACTTTTAGAGAAACATTCTATAAAAAATGCTTTTCTGAATTTTTGACTAGTTTTAGGTACCTTCAAAAGAGTAAGATGAAGTAAGTCTTCATATAACATGTCGACTTTGTAGAAGTTTATATACTTTACACTCTAAAACACGTTTCTTTTGATAACATAGACCATGTACTGTAGTCTGGCTAGAGCCGAAGATGACTCCGGACATATCTTTACCTTCCCTCTACCCAGTCTTTTCCCAATGGACTTCTGTTAAGTCTCACCATAAATCAGACGTGTCACTGCAATTTTTCAGCTTAAAAGAAAAAACCCAAAATCTTACCTGCATTTTCATATCTAAAACTTACAATTATGCACAAGATCATATATTTAGTCCGATACAGTGCAATAGTGAGCAACCGCAAATACATTTGTCAAAATTCACATTTTTACATGGCATCCTTGACTTTTCTGGGCACCTTTTTTTTTTCCTCCTTCAATTTACAAAACGGAACAGTCTCCTTATCTACAAGGCACACAATAATCGCTCTAGAGATTTGTCAAGTTCTAAGTTATATGGCATCTTTGTGACTCATCTGGATAACAACGGAAATACAGCAGTTCCCCTTCTACCCATCTCCAAGACATACACAAAAGACAATGCCTCTCTGTTAAATTACTCTAAGTTCCTACCAGACAGTGTAAATAGCAACATTTTATCCTCTGCAAAAAAGCTGTACAGTAAGACAGGTAACAGAGAGAAAAGTTTACCTGCAACGTCACAATGTCTTGCCGAGTGAAGGGCTCATCTGTCAAAAGATCCTTGTAGCTCTTTGGTTTTATGTTCAGCTGCTCAACTGCCTAACAGCCAGGCAAAAGACACATATTAAAAATCTGATTCTAATGTGTAAATACTACAAGTAAATATGTGATACCAACCAAATCTTAAACTAAAAATGATAAACAATTTCACCCTTCATTCTCAACTGGCAGCCGCAATATTTTCATTGTGTATTTTAACATATTCGAAGTTTTTGTCTTTCATCCCTACAAAACTCAAGTTTTGTTTTTTTTTAAAAAAGAACCTTGCAGCCTCCATTCCATAATTTTAACCAAATTCATCATAAAAGTACTGTCAAAAAAAAAAAAAAATCTTGCTTGCAGTTTTCTAGGTTAGGTATTTTACAGATGGTGTAAGGCAGGCAGCTTTACAAGGGGTCTGTATCCCCCCCACTGTCAGCACCCCTTGGGGAGACACACGTCCCAGGTCAGCTCATGCAACAGCAGAGTTGCATTAGCCCCTCACAGTCTGTCCACGCTGACTGCTGCACCTAGTCTGCAGCAACATTTCTTTTCACCGGAGAAAATTAAATGATGCTCAACAAATCAGCAGCCTGTTGCTTCACAGTGAGAATCAATGTGGAATAAATACTTTGTCGTTACAAACAAACACATCATACAGAGAGAGGACTATGGAGATCTACCTGCAAAATACTAAATCTGTTTTATTCACCCAAATGTCCTCTGTCCTCCTCAGATGAAAGTGATAATATTTTTCTAGTACCTCCAGAAGTCCGTGAATTAATTCTATGCTTATAACAAAGCAGTAAATGCTGTTGCTTCAAGTCGTACATCACATGAGAAATAGACCCTCTTGGCACAGCTTGTTTAGGAAGCCCGGTACTATAAATTGTAGTAAACTGAGCAACAGTTTTACAATATTGACAAGCATTTACCAAAGACTACTCTTAAACTCATTTTTGCCTTTTAACCACAGCAATCCAAGCATCACGCTTCCTTCCAGAAGGAACAGAAAATGCTTTCTATTTTAACCTAATCTTGACAGTTCTCATAGCTGGGATGAAGACAGTTCAACTACAACAGAAAAATTTTTCAAAAACATGATGAATCCAGCCTTTTCCTTGATTGCAATGGTTTCAGCTTGTTCCTCTCTCAATATCTGAAAGTCTTACTGGAATTTCCCATAAATAGATTTCAAAAAGCAGATGTTTCAGTGTTAAGACTTTTTACAACACTGGATAAGGAGCCATTAATTGAAGGATTTATTTGCTACTGAAAAATAAATAAACCTTGCTTTTTCAGTAAGAATTATTAAACAAGTCACAACTAAAATTCCACTTGGATTCACCAATATAAATAGAAACGAGGCAAACTGTGTTTTGGTGATGATTATCAGAAAGAAGACAACAGAAAACTTGTCAATTCAACTGAGGGGCATATAAAAGCTACTCATTTTGGTCTACAAGAGTCAGTGCATGCAGATTAACTTAGGAAATCTGCAGTTTAAATAATATTCTAGGGTTGTTCATATTTTGAAGGCAAAAGTTGGACAACAATTTGTGAAGTCAGTTAATCTCCTTGTACTTTAACTTCCCTAGCTGAAAAACAAGAATAAAACTTACTTATCTTTCTAAAGCATTTTGTGATCTTGAATGATATGCATCAAGTATAAAATATTAATAACAAAATGCAACAGAGAACCTACCTCATAGGCAAACACATTTCCAGTTGTCTTGATGGCCACAATATGGGAGTTATTGGTGAATACAGTAAACAGCACTGGACAGTGGTATTTACCTGATAGAGGGGAAAACATTTTAAATTCGGCATGGAGTCCCTGCAACTGTTTTGAAATAGCTTATTTCTGTTATCTCTGTGAAGGACATCTATTAATTTTTAATATAAAGTGTAACTTCAGTATGTATTTAATGGTGTTTTAACGATACTTTGATTATTCAGTGACAAATAGAAAAAGTAACGAGCATTATAAAGCAAGCAATGAAAATGCAGTTTTGAAATCTACTGCCTACAATCCCCCAACACAGAACTTTGTCCAACTTGTTTGATACCTATGAATTACCACAATGCGATTGTTACTGTTGTAATCAAAGCTCTACCGACAGCATGAGCCTGTACCTTGTAACGTGCCCAATGCTCTATTTTCAGTGTTGTTCCCAGGAACAAAAGTTTAATTTGTATCCTACAAAAAAGTTCACAGCAGCTGTTGTGCTTTTAGGAGAGGAGAGCATTTTGTATTCCAGTGTGGCAAGCAGAGTGCCATTAAATCTGAACACGTTACTCAATAAGGAACCCAGCTTCTGCTCTAATCAAGCTGTGAATTTTCCCAGGAGGGTCAGCAGAAATATTAAGCATGTCAACAACAAGCAAACTGATGGAAGGCAATGTACAAGGAAAAAGAAAAATGTCTGGATGATCTCAGCAGAAAGCAATTAGAAGAATGTTATTAATACTTGATCAGTTTGCTAGACCTGGGGGGTTGGGTGAGATTTTTGAAACAGGTTTGGCCTATTTGGTTCTTTTTTTCCTAATTACCATCTGAAAATCAAAACCAGCAGGGAGACCAGAACAGAGACTGCTCACAGCACCTGCAAAGACAAGGGAGGCAAGCACCTACAGAGTATTTACCACTAACGGATCACCCAGAGAAGGCACTCTGACCTCCAGCACGCAGATGCAAAGTAAAAGCTGAGAACTGTTTCTGTTAATGCCACCAGAGCTGAAGGAAAGCCATTGCCACAAGGGACTGAAATTCAAGAAGAAGTTTAGAAAGGGATTTTTGGTATGGCCTAACAGAAACATGCTGGTAAAATGTGAGGCCTCACTCCAGCTGCATAAAAAAGAGCAAATAATCACAACCTGCTCTTGAGACAGATGGAACACAAAATGCAGAAGAAAACCATAAGCTAGAGAAAAACCTTGTAGACCATGGACTTTGGTAACATTAGGAGACAAACACTCCAGAATTTTATTCCCTCCTAATCCTTGCCACTCTCATTTCAAAGAAATCCTTATCTGCCTTGTAATAGATTAATTCATCTTCACTCTCCTCTTTCATTCCTAGCATCCTCTCGTAGATGGCAGATTTTATATCTTTAACTCTGCAGAAATAAAACTTCAGGCTGCTGTCTTGTGTGCCGCTATTCACAAAATCCCACGTTTATTTAAGCCTACTTCATTTTATAAACAAAAAGTTGCTCAAAATCAAGTGAACAGCAAATATTGTCATAGACAAGTTAGGAAAAAAGGTAACATATTATAGAAATCTAGACTTTTCTGAAATGTTTCCTTAAAGTAAACTGTACCTTACTGCAGCAGCAGCTACAGTGAAGTGAAATTGCTGAATAATTTACAGCTTCTCAGTGTAAAAAAAAAAACACAACAAAACAAAAACGGAACTTTAAAGGTAAACATGTCACTCACAACAAGAGGTTATTCTACTAAAAAAAATAAAAACCATGACAGAGAACACAAACTATGTAACTTTACCATGAGTAAGACAAACCAGGATTTATTAAAACACTCATTAAGAAGAAAAAAAAAAAAAGCACAGAAAATTACTGCACTTACCTTCACTGTTTTTAGCAAAATTCAGCTTTATAAGTGATTTGGCATCTAGCTTCTAAAGAAAATGAAGCATTAAAAAAATTAATCACAACAGAATCTAACCACGGAAATAAAACTGTAATATCAGTGTTAGGATTTTAATCATACATAATTTATTAATAATTATATATTGCAAGTTGTCTGAATCATCAGAACTCTGGGAATTTAAGTCACAGACAGCCCACAAAAACAAGGCTCACAGAGCCTGAGAACTGGGATACGTTTATTCACAGCATTGTAGTTTGACACTGTGCAGTGCTAACGAGGGTGAATAAGCTCGAGAAGTTGCACAACTGTCTTACCACAATCTGAAAGAGGAGTCTGCATGAAAAGCGAAGAGGCCAAGATCATTGCTGCTGATCAGGAGCGACAATTCAGAAGGGACCTCTGATGAAAGTCGTGAGGCCAGCAAACCATTGTGGCAATCAAGCTCGCTACATTTTCTGAAACAACTGTAATTTTTCTTTTACTTCAGGAAACGCTGATCAGGAGCGACAATTCAGAAGGGACCTGATGAAAGTCGTGAGGCCAGCAAACCATTCTGGCAATCAAGCTCGCTACATTTTCTGAAATAACTGTAATTTTTCTTTTACTTCAGGAAATGTGTAGCAGAGCCCAACTAGCAATAATGAAGAGAAACGGAGGCACAGATTCTCTGGAGATGCACTTGGGTCATGAAGGGAGTCCCAGGAGGGATCTTCGACCACTTAATCCCCAGGTCGCAATTCCACAGAAGAGGAAACCAAGATGGCAGCTGAGGTTGGGGTAATGTTCTCCAACTCCACAGAGAGGACACTGCAAACTAAGCTAGCTCCTGCTCTCCCACGCCTCATCAGAAGAATGCCTAGAGCATTCTCCTGCTGCCCTGTCTCCAGAGAGGCTTTCTGACATGGGGAGGGAAGAGCTATTGGGCTGGCAAACACTTCTGGATGATCAGGCTGCATCCTCCCCACAGCCTTCCCTAAGACACGAAAGCTGCAAGAACACCCAAAATAACAACGAGCCTTCAGTAACATGACAGGGCAGGCCCACATATGCCAGTCATTTCATGGGGTCAGTATGTGATTTGGGCACACTGCCGGCATGATGGGGCATACCACGACCAGGGTCACCCCATGAGCACAGCCCGCTGGGACGGTCAGGTAGCACTTGACTAGGGCACCCTGCTGGAGACAAAGTCCAGCCCAGCAAACTGCAAGCCTGAGTGAGGATCTCAGATACATGAAAAAAATAACAAACCCTTTGATTGTATCAGCTGTCAGAGACAGCTTCACTGCCAAATTGATCGTTAAAAGCACACACAGCACAGGCCTTTTAAAAGAAACAATCAGTTCTCTTCTCAAAACATGCACCTGAACAGATTAGGGAAGTTTTTATAAACCCAGACAGCTCTTTATAACAGCTATGAGTGGAGATCTGCCAGCTGCAGTGCCGACCCTGCTAGTTCAATCATTATGGCAAAGAGTGATTACAAAATCATGTGAAACTAAGTCGGTCGGCTTTTTCTGCCTAATCAAAATTCATATTCTTGGTTCAGAGAGTACACGTTATGACAGCTGGACTCATTCATTTACAGGAAGGCATTTCTCAAATTGTTTTCAGCCAACTGGCAGGCTCATTTGCCACCAGAAAGGTAACCATCTCCCTAATTTATTAGCAAGAAGGGCAATGAGGGCTAGTAGGAATAAGATGGGAAGGGAAAAAAGAGGCTAGGTTAGGTTATGTTTAGTTGGACAATGGAAAACCATTGCTTTCCTCCAAGACCAGAGAATCCTTAAGTGGACTCTCGAAAAATACCCAAAAACCCCAACTTCTGCACACTTCTGGCAGCAAAGGCAACGGCAGCTTCTGAAACGACTAAGTGAATGCAGAGCTTTATTCATTTATTTATCTTCTTACAAGAACAGAATTGTCAAAGAAGTAGTAGGGGAACAGCAGAGTTGCCAAAATGAACATATGATCCTGGACAGATCTGTTCAACCTAAACAACTTACTAACACAAAGCAGCATCCATCTGTGCACATGTCGTCCAACAGCCCAAAGATTATGTTCCAGAATAAGCTTCTTTAGAAATACAATCGCTGGAAACATTGATAATTTGAAGGCAGGCCTTTAAATTATCTTCCTGGCAGACTTGAGCCACCCCGAAAACATATGAGCAGTTCATCTTTAAACAAAAATGGAAACAGTTCCCTAAGAAACAGTTTAGCATGATTGAAGATTCAGATTTATACCTTGACATAAATTTAGTGGAAAAGACAGACTAAACTGCCGCACAGACTTTAAAGGCAGCAAAAGCTGCAGTACATTGTTTCATCTGTCAACGTATGATGCATCGTTAGAAGTGCTGCCAAGTCCTCGGACTCTTACTTCGTACGCAGGGAAATAGTATGGTATTTCAGGTCACATCTTTCCATAATACGGAAAAAGGTTAGTTTTCAGCATCACTCACTCATGATGCATCAGCTGCCTGTGCTGGCATCTGCTCCCCACTGAGACCAGCACTTATACAGTCTTATATGTCAACGGTAAATAAAAAAATAGTGATTTTCATATAGGAGTTGAAATACACGCACTGCCTGGAGTCTTCTTCCAGGATGAGAACTCTATACCAAAATGCTTAATGAACATTACAAAATTTACTGCCACAGAATGGCCTCCTATCAAGCTTGTGTTGAAGAAGTGACCTTGGCATGTCAGCTCACACCCTTTCGAGCAGCTCTGTGCTTTGGCTCAGCTGGCAATAGCTTCGTGCCTGAGCGCTCCCACGCCGTGTCATGAGGGAACTTCCCACTACTTGCAAAGGATGTTGTTTGTGCAATGTATGTATGAAAAGGGATGGAAACGGACCAAGACTTGTATATGAGAAAATATGTGGAGGAAATATAATTAGGGCAACACCTCGAAAGACTTCTGAGAAGCGGACTGACATGTCTTAATGCATGGCAAGATGAGAGGGGGATTTAGTATTTTGTCAAAGGAAATCTTTGGAGCACCAGAACAGCAAAACCAGGTGATGATCTGCTACAAAGGACTGCCACGGCCTACAAAGGCAGCTCAGTGCCTGAGACAAGGCTGCAGGACTGGGCAACCGCACATGGTGCAGCTGCAGAGGAGGGAGTCCAACCCACACACCGGGACTTCCAGTAGGTCCAGTTTTGAAAGACATACATGTTAGGAAACTATTAAAGAACAGGATATAGGAAACCTGTCTCATATTCTTTTTTCCTCTCAAGTTCTTCATTTCACATGAAAACAGGGTTATCTTGCATGTAGGTGAATCTGCTTTTATTTATTTATTCTCCATCAAAAGTCAAAGCTTCCCAAACACCATCACACAGTTTGTTGCCATGGAAATGATCATTATGCCACAAACAGGTGCCAGTCTTCACAGCAAGAGACAGCAGGAGTGAATGAGTCCTAAAATGAGTTAAAGTACTTGTTTTCATGTATTTCTTATTAATAAAGCATAAGAGAGCTCAAATATTGCATACACAGCTCAAGTTCAAAACTATTTCCAACCTCAGTTTCCCTGACACACGCCTAACATCCAATTTCAGCCGATCTCCAGTAATGAAAGCAAGGAAAAACCAATGTTTATTAAAAACACTTGATCTAATTAAAATTCTAAACTCTTAACGAAAACGAAAGGCCACAAGCATTCGCCACTTCCCCCAAGCAGAAATAAAAGCTGCATATTCACTTCTAAAAATATTTTATGCAAGAATACTGGAAAGCAGACGCATTTCACGGCACGTAGTGCCAGCTGCTTCACAGCAAGGAAGGGCTGAAAAAACAAACGCAAAACCTGTGCAAGCTCTTTTCTCAGCTGACTCCTCTCTTGCAGGCACACTTCCACAAAGGCAGCCAAGGCTACTTTTGGCCATGACCTACTTTCTTGCAGCAGCGAGAAGCCCCACCGCCCCGCGCGCTCTCATCTGTCAGCTGACAGCGTTCGCTCCTGCGGGATCTCAAAGGGCAGCATCCTTTATCGATACCCAAAGCAGAGGTTATGACGATGCGTAGGTTAGTGGGGCACTGTGGCAGCTTGCGGATGAAGCATGCCGATTGTTTCGAATTAAATCATTCTCTGTCATCGCTCCGTGTCTCATGAAGATATGACCTACAATCCCCGCACATCAATTAGTTACACTCTATGAATCTCTTTGGTCTGTGGCTGCATGTTCTTCTTGTTAATGAGGCTCTGACCCTGTTGGATATGCACCAGCCTGAAAAGCAATCAAAATGGGCTCATTTGATTCTCTACCCGCGCATGGGTAGGGCTGGTGACGTGTGGCAAGAGTTGTATTTAGTAAATATAGACTTTCCTGCTCTATCTACAGTAATTGAGTTAGCGTTAAAATGTTCGACACTTGGGGATTGGACACCCTTCTGAATGGCCTCTAGC